TATTGCGGAAGGAGGAAAGAATCGAGGCAATTACAGAAGCACCATACTGTCCCCCGAGCTCAAAGCGGCAGCTAAAAGCCTTCGTGAGAACAAGGTAGATAGTCGTCAGAAGAGGTGACAAGTCGCCAATATACGTCATTCTTAAAAAAGACGAATATCTGGCAAAAATGAACCTCATTCTCTCTGGCCAAACTAAATTCCAAAGGGTAACGAAAGACAGTACAGCCGAATTGAAGGCAAAAGTCAACAAATTGATCGAAACTGTGAACGCCAAGAAATCTGGACTCCACCTGCCAAAGATTGTTGGAGAATATAAGCCTGGATACGTGTATGGAAATGTCAAGACACACAGGCCTGGAAACCCACTTCGGCCAATCATTAGCCAGATACCCACACCCACGTACAGACTGGCAAAGCGACTCAACGGCTTGCTGACTCCTTATGTCCCTTGTACCTTCAGCCTGAAGTCTCCGATAGAGTTTGTTGACTTACTGCGGGGAACACGGGCCGCAGGGATAAGAGCCTCGTTGGACGTAGAATCACTGTTTACCAACGTACCTGTGGATGAAACAATCGGGATGATAGCGGACAGTGTACCGTGATCCGGCCTGTACTCCTCTTGACATACCAGAAAACAGTCTAAGGAAACTACTCCAAGCTTGTACTAAAGAGGCACCCTTCTTGAGCCCGGATGGACACATGTAAAAGCAAGTAGATGGGGTCGCCATGGGTTCTCCCCTAGGTGTCCTGTTTGCAAACTTCTACATGGGTACCATCGAGCAAAAAGTCTTAGTCGACATGAACTTGAAACCTGCCATATACTGCAGGTATGTTGATGACATTTTTACACAGGTACCTGATGTCAGACATCTGCAGGAGCTGAAGGAGGCATTTGAGCAGAATTCTGTGTTGCGTTTCACTTACGAGATGGAGAAGGATGGGACGCTGCCCTTTCTAGATGTAACAGTCATGGAAAGGAGCGGAGTTTTCCACACTGCAGTCTACACTAAGGAAACAAACATAGGAATGTGCCTCAATGCCAACAGTGACTGCCCAGACAGGTACAAGAGGAGTGTTGTTAACGCTTATGTCGACCATGCTCTCAGCCACAGCTCAGAATGGAAGAAAGTCGACGAAGAACTCTGTAGGGTAAGGCAGGTCCTAGTCAATAACGGCTTCTCCAATGGTTTCGTCGAAGACATCATAAGAAGGAAAGTGAAACGCCATGCAACCTCTGAAGAAACAAATAACACAACACCTATACCCCCTATTAGACTATTTTACAGGAACTTCTTTTCCACAGCTCATAAAACGGAGGAAAAGGTCCTGAAAGATATTGTTAATAGAAACGTTATCCCTACAGACAAAAATCAGAGGATACAACTGTCGATTTACTATAAAACCAGAAAAACGGCCAGCCTACTCATGAGAAACTCTCCAGACACAAAACAGAACGCTTTAAAAGAGACTAACGTCGTCTATGCCTTCAAATGCCCTCTTGGGGACTGTAAGCTCCAAAAAAACCCAGTATATAGGCAAGACAACAACATCTCTTTCTAGGCGTTTAACGATGCACAAGCAACAGGGCTCCATTAAGGAACATATAATCTCTTCCCACAACCAAACCATCGCCAGAGAAATCCTAGTAAACAACACAGAAATCATCGATAGATACAGCGATAGCAGGCGACTTGACGTTTGCGAGACACTACACATCAAGAAGTCAACACCAGCAATCAACAGCCAATTAATGCACAACTATATTCTACCCACCTCAAAACTCCGCTCCAATATAGAAGCATCAAGAAATATGGACTGATAGGCTTTCTACAAACACTTCTATTCAATACCCATTGTTTCGTGTTGTCTTGTGTTGATGAAATTAATACCCTATTAAATACCACCTCACCCCATCCACCTCACTCAAATGTAGATATAAACAAATCGGAGATATGTAAGTTCTATTCAGTTGTGAATGTGTAAAGTTTTACGAAACGCGCTTAAGTGTGGCGTCAGACTAGAAATAAAAAATGAATTTTGGAGAATTGATTTTTGAATTACCTCCAACAGTGAAAAGGAATGTACGAAAGATTGAGAAAATTCGTGTTAGAATTATTAATCTTACTTTTTCGGTCATATTTAATAATATATATATATAAGGAACTCTCATCCTCGACCGACTTTTCCAAATGACTGCAAACAGTCCAAATGGGATAGCCCCATAGTGGAGAACATCGCCACATCATTGCTGGAGGCAGCTTCCAGGAAGGACAAAGCGCGTCTTCTAGCTGTGCAAGCGCCCCATGCCGGGGACTTCCTGTTGGCAGTCCCTAATTCCGCCTTGGGCACCCGCCTGGACCATCGGACCCTAAGTATTAGTGTTGCTCTGCGCCTTGCCGCCCCTATCTCCACCGAGCACCGGTGTATTTGCGGCCATGCACGGGCAGACCAATACGGCAGCCATGGTCTCATCTGTCGTAAGACAAAGGGAAAGATTGCCAGACTTGAAGCAGTAAATGACATCATCAAGAGAAGTTTGGCGTCAGCTGGGTGCCCAGCAGAAAGGGAACCTCAGTTGTGCAGACCTGACAACAGCCAAAAACGTCCAGATGGAGTCACCCTGCAGCCGTGGAGGGAAGGTAAACAGGTCGTGTGGGACTACACGTGTGCATCCACATTGGCTGATACCTATCTACCTTACAGCGCAGCTGAGGGAGGCGGGGCGGCCACCTTCAGGGAGACCCAGAAAACTAACAAGTACAGGGACCTAGAACGTTGTTACAGGTTCGTGCCAATAGGCTCTGAGACTCTGGGCGCCTGGGGTAAATGTGCACTTAAGTTCCTGAAGGAGCTGGGCGAGGAACTCATTGGGAAGACTAGAGACCCAAGAGCGGCCAGTTTTATGTTCCAGCGCCTCAGTGTCGCTGTTCAGAGGGGAAATGCGTGCTGTATCTTGGGTACGCACCCGACCCCCGAGGAGCTGGACGAGGTCTTCGAACACTGAGTGGTATATTGTTATATAAGTGTGTGTTTTCTGTAAACTGTAACGTTGCAATAAAATCAAATAAAAAAAAATAATAGGGGTGGTAGGAGAGGAAAAGATTAAAGTATTCAGTGAGAATCCACAAGGTCTTCTCTGAACACAATTTATTTTCTTCTTCGAGGATGTGGGTCCCTTTAATTAAACCAGTGGTGGTACCCCTAAATATATATATATATATATATATATATATATATATATATATATATATATATATATATATATATATATATATATATATATATGCGAACAATTTTGTTCGCATTTGTGTTCCTCACGTGTGCCCCAAAGAATGAGGTGATTTGGTGAAATGCTATGCCCAAGATTACCATCCGAGTTGCCGTCGGGGAAGTGGCTCAAATAGCCTCGGCTATCACTTCCTTTTGACGGCCGTGATGGTCAAGCGGATTAAGGCGCCCTGTAGTTACCAGTTGCGTTGCTTCTGGGAGTATGGGTTCGAGTCACTTCTGGGGTGTGAGTTTTCATTCGCATATAGTCCTGGGGACCATTCAGGCTTGTTCGCATATATATATATATATATATCTGAAAACTTCACACCCCAGAAGCGACTCGGACCCAGACCGCCAGGAGCACAATGCAACTGGGGTACATGGTACCTTTACCGCTTGACCATCAGTGACTGTACAAAAGACGATGGTAGCCCAGACTAATTCCCCATCGTCCCGACGGCACTTTGATGGTAATCATGGGCATAGTTGTTTCATCAAACCATCTCGTTTTGTGGGGCCATGTGAGCAATAGCAACATTTGTTGCTGTTGCAACAATATTGTTCAACAATACCTGGGCTATGCTTCCAAACTCCCTACTCACGTTGCTCCATTCGGAGCAGTGGGTAAGGGCTCGACGAATATAAGCATTGAGAACACTGGCTTTGTATCTTTGGGGGCACTCACTCCTACCGTTTAGGCATAATCCTATGTTTGTAGGCTTAGTATATACCCTGGTGCTTAGAGAGGCTCCTGTTTTTGTTATTAGTACATCCAGGAATGGCAGACTGTTATTTTTACCATTTTCATGGGTAAACCGGAGTAAATCGAAGTAAATTAAATGGCGTAAATTAAATTAGGTAAATTAAATGGGTTAAATTAAATCGGAGTAAATCTGATAAATTATATGGGAACTCTCGAAGATAGAGTCATTTGTAGTAGGCAAAATCCAACTGTATACTGCTGTTATGTAGATGACATATTCGTCATAGTGAAAGACCCAGATTAAATAATTGATCTAAAAAGCCATCTAGACAGAGAGAGAGTTAGTGCTCCGAGATACCCATGAAAAGAGTAAAAATAACAGTCTGCCATTCCTGGATGTTGTAATAAGAAAACCAGGAGGAGCTCTAGGTACTGCTGGGCAAACAGAGGCTACAGTCAAGGATTGACACCCAGTAAATTCTCCCTACCAGGATACGAACCCAGGCCCAAGCGCTCGCGAAACGCTAGGCATGCGTCTTACCATTACACCACGTGGACTGCTAGACATAGTTGCTGACATAAACACGTATGTGTATATGCCAACCCTTCTCACCATACTGCCTCACTAACAACTGAGGCGGCCTCAGCATGAAATATCTGTTCCAAAGCTCCTACTACAAAGCCCCTACACTATTAATTTTGAGGTGTAAAAAACCCCAGTGGGAGATCTTTTTAGTGCATCCTTAGCATTGAACGACTCCTACCACCAACTTGATTTGGGATAAGACGAAGCCTATCGAGTAGAGAATTCCCCTACAGCTCAGTATCGTGCACCCTGAACTTAGACGCTTTCCTCGTGTCTTGTTAAGTTCAAGCTTCTATTGTTGAAGCCACCTGTCATTAGAAAGTGGAGACGTTGCACGCACTTGCTGCTAGGACGAAGTAAAAACCCACAATCTTCCTCTGCCAAGCTGAACAAAGTTGGGAATAAATGATGTTCATTGTTATTGGTTCTGTTTATTTACAGGCTTCAGTACGGGAACAGTGAGCCAATTTGGAGTGCAGAATGTCCCAGCGACCGCTCAAAATAACAGTTGTGGGCGACGGTTACGTAGGCAAGACCAGCCTCCTAGTGTCCTACACCACCGGCAAGTTCCCAGAGGTAAGTCAATGAAACGCTAGGCTGATGGAGGGCAAATACAACATCACAAAATAGAACATGACGCAATGAATACAAATTAGAAGGAGTTTCGATTCTGTTAACTATTGGATAATAGAGCAGGGTGCAGGATAACATAGTTCACGTGGGATCAGTAGTGGGCCACAAACGTAGTTAGATCAAATGTGCTAAGTAGTGAGATGTAGAACAAACATAAGAACATAAGAATAAAGGTAACTGCAGAAGGCCGATTGGCCCATACGAGGCAGTTCCTATTTATAACCACCCAATCCCACTCATATACATGTCCAACCCACACTTGAAACAATCGAGGGGACCCCAACTCCACCACGTTACGCGGTAATAGGTTCCAGAAATCAACAACCCTGTTACCGAGCCAGTATTTACCCAAGTCTTTCCTAAATCTAAACTTAGCCAGTTTATACCCATTGTTTCGTGTTCTGTCTTGTGTTGATACTTTTAATACCCTATTAATATCCCCCTTTGTTATGTCCATTCATCCACTTGTGAACCTCTATCATGTCACCCCTAACTCTTCGCCTTTCCAGTGAATGCAATTTAAGCTTTGTTAATCTTTCTTCATATGAAAGATTTCTAATTTGGGGAATTGACTTTGTCATCCTACGCTGGATAGGTTCAAGTGAATTTATATCCATTCTATAGTACGGCGACCAAAACTGAACTGCATAATCTAAATGGGGCCTAACCCGAGCAAGATATAGCTGAAGAACCACACCAGGTGTCTTGTTACTAACGCTTCGAATAATAAATCCCAGTGTCATATTTGCCTTATTACAAACATTCATGCATTGATCTTTTGGTTTTAAATTGTTACTAATCATAACTCCCAGATCCCTTTCGCAATCCGACTTCTCAATCTCAACACCATCTAGCTCGTATCTTGTAACTCTATCATCATTACCTAGCCCCAAAAACTTTACATTTATCAACATTAAACTGTATCTGCCAATCTTTTGACCATTTCAAAACACTATTTAGATCAACTTGAAGTGATAGTGAGTCTTCTTCAGTGTTAATTTCCCTACCGGTTTTTGTATCATCTGCAAATTTGCAGATGTTGCTACTGAAACCTGAATCTAAATCATTTATATATATTATAAACAACAGAGGTCCCAATACAGAGCTTTGAGGCTCTCCACTTACAACATTTTTCCACTCTGATTTAACCCCATATATACTAATTCTATGTTTCCTTTGGTATAACCATGTCCTAATCCAACTTAATATAGTACCCCAATACCATGAGCCTCTATCTTTTTAATCAGTCTTTCATGTGGTACTGCATAAATAGCTTTGCTAAAGTCAAGGTACACAACATCACAATCCTTACCACTATGAACTGCCTCGGTTATGCTGGAATAAAAAGAGAGCAAACTTGTTAAACATGAACGGCCATTTGTAAAACCATGTTGCGACTCATTTATTAATTTATGTTTTTCAAGATGACGAATTTTATTTACAACTAGCTGTACCCGGCCACGCGTTGCTGTGACTCAGCAACACATGTGCGTTGCTGCAACCCGTTCTCGCAAATTTAATAAGTCAATATTGACTTATTAAATATGTGCATAGGTGACATACTTAACATAATAGATACCCTTAAAAAGATTCATAGAAAACACCGACCTTACCTAACCTTGTTAGTATCTTAAGATAAGCATCTTATAGCTTCGTAATTACAATTATTACCTAACCTATAATAGGTATAGGTTAAGTAATAATTGTAATTACGAAGCAATAAGATGCTTATCTTAAGATAGTAACAAGGTTAGGTAAGGTCGGTGTTTTCTATGAATCTTTTTAAGGGTATCTATTATGTTTAGTATATCACCTATGCACGTAGTTAATAAGTCAATATTGACTTTACGAATTTGCGAGAACGGGTTGGTTGCTGAGCCACAGCAACCTTCCCCTGTCTCCCAGTCCTCCCCACCATACCCCTTCCCCAGTCCCCTCGTCCTGCCCACCATTCCCTCCTCCCTCGTCCCTTTGTCCACCCCACCATCCCCCCACTCAACCTTCTCCTGGTCCTCCTAATCATTCCCCACTCCCCCGATGCCTCGTTCTCTCCTCCATCCCCCACTCCCAGTCCTTTTGTCCACCCCACCGTTCTCCAATCCCCTCGTTACCCCCCCCCATCGCCAACTCCCCTGTACCCTCATCCTCCCCTCCATTCCCCCTCCCCCTTCCTCTTGTCCTCCAAAGCATTCCTCACTCCCCCGTCCCCTCGTCCTCCCAACCATTTCCCACAACCCAATCTCCTCGTCCTCTCCACCATTCCTTCCTCCTCTGTTCCCTCTTCCTCTCCACCATATCCCACTCCCCTGTACCCTTGTCCTCCCCAACATTCTTCATTCCCCTGTCCCTCGTCCCCACCGTCCCCAACTCTCCTGTCCTTTCGTCCTCCCCACCATTTCCCCCTCCCCTGTCGGCTCCATCCCCCACTCCCGTCCCCTTGTCCTCCCCACCATATCCCACTTCCTCATTGGAAGCATTTCCAAATGATCTGATCTTCCTATCAGAAAATTGGGTACATCAAATGATCTGATGTTCCCATCACTGAAAAATAAGAACAGTTAAGAAAAACGAAATGAAAAACAATGAAAAAATGAAAAAAATAAACTATACTCACGAAATGAACGGTATGATAAACAACACAACTCAAATCCAAGGCAATGTCACACACAAAATATAAAAATCAAAATGAAAATAAATAGAAATCTATGAAAATTCAATTTATTGATGCAACTAGCAGTACCCGGCCACGCGTTGCTGTGGCTCAGCAATGCATGTGCGTTGCTGAGCCACAGAAACCTTCCTTGTCCCCCAGCCCTCCCCACCATTACCCCCTCCCTTGTCCCCTCGTCCTCCCCACCATCTCTCACTTCCGTCCCCTCGTCATCTCCACCATTCCCCACTCCCTCGTCCGATGCCTTCCCAAATGGTCTGATGTTCCCATCAGAAAATTGGGAACATCAAGTGATCTGATGTTCCATCACTGATATATACAAAAAACTGTTAAAAATGAAATGAAAATATGAAAAATAAAAAAATAAACTATACTCACCAAATTAATTGTATGGTTAACAACACAGCTCAATTCCAACACAATTCACACAAAATAATTAAATCAAAATGAAAATAAATCAAAATCTATGAAAATTCAATATATCAGTGCAATCAGAAACATTGAAATGAAATTGTAAACTATTTAGTACAGCATGTGTTGCTCTTACATACAACAGATGGCACTGTTTTTCAAGAAAAGCATAGTTTTTACCTGTCACAGGTGTAGCATCTATACTTATACTTACGAAATGAACGGTATGGTAAACAACGCAGCTCAATTCCAACGCAATGTCACACAAAATAGTTCAATAAAAAATAAAATAAATCAAAGTCTATAAAATAAAATTTATCAATGGAATCGGAAACATTGAAATGGAATTAGTGACATATTTAGTATAGCGTGCATGTTGCTATTATGTGCAACAAATGGCGCTGTTTTTTCCAAGAAGCATGTTTTTACCTGTCACAAGGGGTGGCATCTATATAGTAGGTATATAAAAAGACGCGCCTATTCGAATGCAACGTTGTGTCAAAATTTCAAAGCAATCGGTGAAGAACTGTCAGAGATAACAGTATGTGTTGCTCTTACGTCCAACAGATGGCGCTGTTTTTCCAAAAAGCATGTTTTTTCCTGTCTCAGGTGAGGCATGTACATAGTAAATATATGAAAGGTGCGCCTATTCAAATGCAACGTTGTGTCAAAATTTCAAAGCACTCGGTAAAGAAGTTTCGAAGATTTCTCTCGCATGACAAACACAGTTTCTCAGAAAAAGCATGCTTTTTCTTACCGTCACAGACGTGACATATATATAGTATGTATATAAAAACCTGCTCGGATGCGAATGTAACGTTGTGTGAAAATTTCAAAGCAATCAGTGAAGAACTTTCGGAGATTAGCGGTTATGCACAAACGAACATTTCCATTTTTATTTATATAGATAGTGTGTGTTGATCTTACTTGCAACAGTTGGCGCTGTTTAAAAAAAAAAGTTTTTATCTGTCACAAGTGAGGCATCTATATAGTAGGTATATAAAAAGACACATATATTCAAATGGAACGTTGTGTCAAAATTTCAAAGCAATCGGTGAAGAACTTTCGGAGATTACAGTGTGTGTTTCTCTTATGTCTAACAGATGGTGATTTTTTTTTTTAATATTTTTTCCTCTCACAGGTGAGGCATGTATATAGTAGGTAATTATAAACATGCGCCTATTCAAATGCAACGATATGTAAAAATTTCAAAGCAATCGGTAAAGAGGTTTCGAAGATTTCCCTCACATGAAAAACAGTTTTTCAAAAAAGCACGTTTTTTCCCTTCACCGACGTGACATCGATATAGAATGTATATAAAAACCTGCTCGGATGCGAATGGAACGGTGTGTGAAAATTTCAAAGCAATCGGTAAAGAACTTTCGGAGATTAGCGATTTTGAACAAACGAACATTTACATTTTTATTTATATAGATTATTGATTCAAGTAACTTTCCCACAATAGACGTTAGGCTAATTGGCCGATAGTTTGATGCAAGTGATCTATCTCCTTTCTTATAAATTGGTACCACATTAGAACCTTCCATGACTCTAGCACTCTGCCTGACCATTGATTTATTAAATATGGTAGACAGTGGCTCGCAAAGCTCCTCTTTGCATTCTTTAAGCACCCTGGCAAACACTTAATCCAACTCTGCGGATTTGTTTGGTTTGAGTTTTATTATTTGTTTAATTACATCCTCCCTGGTAACTGCTAAACTACTCAACCTGTCCTCGTCCCCACCCACAGAGACTTGTTCGGCTGTAGACATATTGTTAAGTTCCTCTTTAGTAAATATAGATATAAAATATTTATTAAAAATACTACTCATCTCTTCGTCATTATCCGTTATTTGACCTG